AATAAACCCCAAACAACTCTGTTTTGCGCTATTCAGAAAAATAAAACCCCTCAAACCTCCACCCACGCTGTTTACACCAAACCGGCTGCAGCCCTGAATGGTAGCAATAAATGGAGTGAGCTAATGTGTTAGTGACAAATAACCCATTCAAACAATTCAAGCATAATTATAGGCTGGCTCTCCTGATGTAACATTGGGTACATCACTGCAGATATTACATTCACCTTATGAAAAGATTGCACAGCAGAGCTCAGTTGGTAGCCCAAACAGCATTATATATCACTAGCCTGTCAGCAGCAGGAGTGCATGCACCCTGGCATTTGAAGTCCTGGTGTTTTAAGTGATAATCCAATGTACCAGGCATCATTGATCTCTATATAAAAGGGGGCACACCACTTTTCCTTTCAATTGGAGCTATTTTTCACTTCTCATCCTGAAGAGTTGTGTGGTGCTGCCCGCAAGTGGCTACACTGCACAGCAGCTCTATCTGTAGCACTCCGGGTCCCCAGGGAGAAAAAATGATCAATACTCCAACGCTGCTTTTCTAAGAGGTCTCTAAGTGCTTCCATGCGAGATGCTGCTCCTCTGGGTTTCAAAATTGCTCTGAAGAGAGCATGAAAGCCCCCGCTGCAAATTCATAATCCTGACACAAACCCCAGCTGCAGCAAGGAATTAAAATGAAATTCATCGGCGAATTGCAAGCTGGTCTATCGGCAAAGGCGGCGCCTGTGACATTAGGAAGGGACCTACAAAAGAAACCAATACCTGGAGGCTAAGGGAGCAGGAAAACCATGTTAGAGGACAACCAGCTGGAGACGGGGAAGCATCACAATGCTCTGCAAATGCGGCCCACGTGACAGGATGGATCTTGACAGGGGTTTATAGCTCCTCAGTGGGTCTGGGATGGCTGGGACCCTGAACACTGCATCATCTGAGAAAGGTGACAGTAATCAGAGGGTCTTGGGAGGGAAGACAAAGGCATTTGAAGGGTCAGACTTGCTGCGGGCAGGTGAGCAGAGCCTAGGAAGTCTCCAGAGCAGTGTCTGGATAGCAGCAGCGAATGCAGAAAACAGACTGAATCTCCTATTTCTTGGATACAGCCAAAAGACGCTAAATTTCTCACAATTAATTTTTTCAGGGGGATCTCAAGTTGGCTTTGGCTCTTCCTGCACTTGGGCTGGAAGAAGTCTTTCATGACCATCCGTAACCTTTCTTAACCTAATCCTTCTCACCGCCTGGCAGCCCACAAGAGTAGGACCAGCCGCGCCGGGCAGGCAGGCTTCAGAGCGGGCAGTCGGTGCTTCCTCAGCACAGAGGGTATCAGATTCCTAGATCAGAGACCGATGAGCGTGTGTTGTAAGGTGGGATTCATGAGCCATGGTGGATGCAAATGGCCTTGATGGTCTTTTACTGCCTGGCTGGGTTTTGCAACTGGATCCTGTGTAGGGCCATAGAAACCCAGCCTGCGCAGAGGCAGCAGCAGAAAGCCAGTGCCATCCTCAACACCCGACTCATGCCACAGTCACGCTGTGGGGTGGCTGGCAGGGCTGTCCTCTCCTGGATGTGACTTCACTGAGGCCACGTGAAGGCTGACAATACGCTCCTGTTCTGGCACAAATCACCAGCCGTCCCCATGGCATGGCACAGCACTCCCATCGCCAGACAGCCCAGTGCAGCAGCCCGGTGCTCTCTCAGTTATACTGACTGATACCCATTAGGGAGAATTTAAAAATGAGAAAGCCAACTGCTTGCTTCTGTGTGAGGTCAAGTCATTTACTCTGGGGCCAGGAAGGACTGAAGGGCTGAGAAGGACTGGCAGTCAAGGGGAGGAAAGTGTCTGGGTCTGAGCAGGGGCAAAGGGGAGAAGTGATGTCCCTGGTCTCGCCCCTGTGACTGCAGGGGCAGTGACAGCCTTTCTCCTCCCATACAGCTCCAAGCACAGCACCTGGATCGCTGCTGCGACTATCAAGAGCCATCGGACACCAATATATTATAGCTGGGGGTGGAGGGGCAAGCAGCTGGCTGCTCAGCACCTCTTCTGCTCTCAGTCCAAGGCTCCCAAGGCTCCGCTGGGTCCGGTCTCCCCAAAGTGCTCAGCACCCAGCGTGCGGTAGCAGAGCGGGCACCTGGCGAGCGTTGCACTCACGAACGCTGCTGCAGGCAGGCAGGCAAAGGGAAGCTGCCAGGAGCAGGCAAAAATTCCTTGGCAGGCTTTTATCATTTTAAAGGGAACAAATTCCAATTGATTGCCCTTGTAAGAGCCTGCATGATACTTGCACTTCTAGCCTAAGCAATAGAAATTTTAATTACTCTGGTAATTACACTTTCAGCAATGCTGCAGTCCTTTGTTCTGAGAGCGGGAGGCCAATATGCACTGTTCTCCGGTGGCCCCGTCTGGCTGCAGCTTGGAACAGCATTTGCCACTTGGAGGAGAAGGGACACTCCTGCAGTGACCAGGGTGGCACTGAGCCTCACCACGCACAGCCCCGCTCACACAGACCTCTGGGGCACTGGGCACACTCCCCAGGCCCGAACGGGTTCCCATCAACCGGGGTCACCTCTGCTTCCCCCTCTTAAAGCTGCTGCTCGAGAGGTTCACACACTTGGTGCTCCCACCACGAGTCTGTCCCCGGTGTGCGTCCCAGCCCCGATGCTCTGCCGAGGATGCTGGGCTCCAGGGTGCACATTTCCAGTCTTTCCCATGCACAAGCTTGCAGGGATCCACAGCGTATAGCCAACATTTCTTCTCTGGGCTGTAAACAGCTCCAAAACATGGTGCAGACACAAACATTACATTGCTTTAACTTATAGATACGTCTATAGAAGAATGGAGAAGAACTGTTATCCCCTTGGGTCCTGGTGAGTACTGTCAAAGCCTGACTAGGCTCTGGAGAACACAAGGCTTACAATTTACCCTGGGAAATTGCTAAGGAAAAATTATCATTACAACTGCCATGCTATTGTATGGATAACAAACTAACCCTAAAAGGTTAGTGCTTGAGAAGTACGGTCCCTGCTTGTCTGAGCAGGAGCCATGTCCGGTGCTTCACTACACTACTCAAATGCAATGCTCTGTTGCCAATAAAGCTGCAGCACACGTGGGCTCCTCCAAAATCACCCAGGGTACAACCAGAACTGAGCACATGTCTGGCTCAAGGGCACTTTACCTGCAAGAATACATCAGCCATAGCACAGACCTTCACGCTTCAGTTCACTAGCCAAGGATTGTTGCAGGCGCTGGGCTGCGTGCACAGGGCTTAGGAGGATAAGCGTGAGCGCAAACTTAGCAAGGTTCTCTCTGGGAAATGGGATCGTGCTCCCCCCAGACTGGTCAAGCAAGCTATAAAATACAAAGCTCGGGGCCCCGCAGGGAGGTACAACTGCAGTTTGGATTCATCAGACACACACAGTCCCACTCATCCTGCCCGCACCGTATTTTCCAACCCATGATTCTGGCTGGCATGGCTCGGCTCCCACGCTTACCAGAAATGCAGGTCACAGCCATACCTCTCTAAATCAACAGCTGCCAACATGCCGCAGCTACTTTGTCACATGCTGGACAACTCACAGCTAAAAGCAAGGTTTCCAAGCGGAATTGCTATTGGCCTTAGTGCTTAAACAAAATAGCTCCACTCCCATCCCCAGAGTTTCCTCAAACAATGGCACAAAACACCCACCGGAGCCTGGGGAGAGGAGGTTCTGTGGCAGAAAAAACCACGGCTGCTGATTTTTGAGATATACACCACACAATTAGAAACACTGGATCTATAAACATCTTTAACAAACCCCAATAAGTCTGGGGGTTTTCTTTTCCTTGCTGTCCATTGTGTGCCGCCACCTTTGAAAACCTCAAAAACAAACGCTCATTTTATGATTTGGTGCTAAACTGCACGTTTCCCTGTGAGCTTGGTGTTGCTGGAGGTACCAGCTCTGCTCATCCATGCCTCTGGGGCTGGAATAGTTGGGATGGGACTGTGTACCACAGGCTAATTGCCCATCCACAGGTGGGAAGGATTCTACCAGAAATTATCTCCCTCCTTGTTTAAACACTTAGATTTCTCAGCTTAGAAAAGGGTAGGTGCTCTTTCCAGATGTCCCCCTTCCTCATCGGGACTGTTCTCGTCAGTGTTTCACAGCAGATCTAATTACAGGCTGTTCCATTCATTGACAATTTCATATACCCTCCTTTTTTTAGGTTAACCTTCAACAACTGGCAAGAAGCAGAACTATATGGGTGGAGGTAACAGGCTATGGATTTATGACATGCTGGTATTCAGGCAAAGTAACACAGCGCAAACACAGAAATATCCTGAATTGTGCTGCTGCTGTCAATTTGATAATGAGAATGTGATTTGAAATAAAAACATCTTGGGTGCCAATTCACTACAGCAGCTAGTAAAAATAGGTCGAATACCTAGAAATGGAGGACACTCTGCTCCAAACACATCCAAAGCTTGAATATCATACGGTACCTTATAAAAACAGAGCGCGTGGCTGCACTGGGGCTACAGCACCACAAATGAAAGGCCACTCAGTGAACCCACGCATGAGCTTTAGCAGAGAGAATAGGGTGCGGTGTGTCTCTAGCTGAGCAGAGGTGAGGGCTACCCTCTTCGGTGCTGTGCAGCCTTTGGATGCTTACCCTCAGCCCACGGTCCCAGAGTCACCCCAGCACAAAACAGTGCAGGGTCTGAGTTGCAAACACCCCTGGGCAAAGCCTGGGTGAATTCTGCCAGAGCCCATGGTACCCAAGAGAGGGCCTTTTAGCCAAATAAAGCAGCTTTTAAATGCTGCAGAAAAAAGGGGGCTGTGGGGCCTCGTACATTTTAAAGGATCTGGCCTTTACAGGAGCTGTTCCCAGTTTCAGGTCAAGCCTGAAGCCTGCTTTAATCTACTTTTAAGTGGTACAAGCAGTTGTGAGCCCTATGCCAGAAAGCAGGGCCGTCTCCTTGCGATGCACCTTCCCCTGTCTGCTGCGTGCAATCTTCTGCGGGACTTACTTGTTGCTGTCGCGGTACTGATAGATATAACAGCCTTGAGGCATCCCACTCTCCTGGTCCAAGGTAAACGACAGCTTCAGCTGCAGAGAGGAGAGGGGGAGGGGGAGAATGAAAAGAGAGAAGGGGGGGGGGGAAAGCGACATTTTAGGCTCTCAGTCATCACAGCAACTTCAAGCAAGGCTTGTGGGAGAAAGCTTAACTCACCGAGACTGACACGCAAACACCGTGGCCTGGAACATACCGCGGGGTTCCAAACCTCAGGGAAAAGTCACATGCGTTGCAGAAACCTCTCGCTTTTTCCACCCTTTGTTACTATAAAGTGTTTGTGGTTCTTCTGAAATGCATGGGTCATAACGGTTCACTCCTCCAAACCCACCCACACACACCACCCTTCACCAAAGCGATTGCGGTTCCCCTCAGACACTAAAGAAATGAGTCTTCTCCATCGGCAGCTGTAGTTCCCACGAGTCTTTCTCTGAAAACTTTCCCGGCTCCATCTCGTTCCTTCAGTGCATTAGAACAGAGGAGAAACCACAGAGGGAAAGGTGACAGATTTTTCCTTCTGTGCAGAGTTATTAAAGAGCTGTTAGAAGGGTTTGCAGTTTGGATCTGCGTCCGGCAGGAGGCTATGATGTGACCTGGAAGCTGCTTTCTTTGCAGCTCCAAGAAGGCATTCGGCAAGGGCTTTCAGATTTCAAACACGGCTCATTTTATTTAAGGGGGAAAAATTAATCCTCTTTCAACAAGCAACAGAACAGTTCGGCGGGGAGACTTTTTTGCTGAAAATGTCTCCAGTAATTTTATATGCTGAACTGCCTAGAAAATAGCAACAACCTGGCACCTCCGAGCAGCCCCTCATTTCCCAGGGGAAGGCTGCTGGCCCCCAGACCAGTGTCCCACCAGCTCCCGCAGCCGTGAGATGCAGCTCTTGGGCTCCACAAAAGGGCTGCAGACCCCGGCCAGGGGCCAGCAGGCTGGTTAAGAGAGGCAGCCTCCTTCGGAGGAGGTAGCTGCCGTCTTCATGTGTTGAGCGCTTTGGCTTTTTCAGGGTCACAGAGATTACTAACAGCGAGGCTGTTACCATTGCTGGAACATGCAGGACTCTTGAAATGGTCTGGGAAGACCATCACAAGGGCCAAAAGTCGAAGGAGGTTTGTTATGATGAACCCAACCTTTTTAAACAGGGAAAAAGAGGAGAGAGCAGTGTTGAGCCACTCCATTTGATCACAGACTCCTCTCCTCTGGGCTCCAAGGAAATTGCTAGCTCAAATTAATGGCTTATTCAGGAACAAACACAGAATTAAAACATCCTTCTCCTGTAGGCTGTTAAGAAACCCTGTGTGCTGAATCATTAGATGATGCACTGATTTTCCCTTCCCTAAAGGGTAACAAAGACATACGCTGTGCTCTCACTGACCCAAATAAAGCTGCATACCACAAAATCATTGAAGAATTCACCATCTCAGATACTGAGTTAAGAACCAAGTACCAGGCTGAGGCCAAATCCAGCTGATCTCCCTTGACTTCTATGCCCCTAGCTCCGTAAGCCATTCTGAAACACGTGCTCCTGCGACAGCATGTATCACCCATGTCCGTGGTACAAGTACCACAATTCATACCAACGCCCAGATGGCAACCTCTTATGCTCTCAACAACTACCCCTTGCTGAAAGCTCTGATCTCACTACAGCTTAGCAGATACCTCAGATCCATTTTGGAGACCGGTGCCAAAGGCAGGACTAGCAGGGCCAGCTGGGGACACTTCTTGCTGAGATCCACAAAGCCAGGCTGCAGCTCCAGCCTTTCCAGATGTTATGATAGCACATGGCAGCTACCCCCCAGGAGCAGGAGGTCAGCAAGAAACAAGCCACCTCCCCAGGGGAGACAAACGATTGTTTTGCTGTGAGATGGGCAAAAGTCACTTGTCCACAGCCAGAGTCTCCCAGGTGTCCCAGGTGAGCTGCCCTGGTTTGGGGAACTAAAGGAGGAACCGGGAACTGCCCAAAGCCATTTTTCTGGGTCAGGTTTTCCAAAGCCTTCCTGCTACAGTATCAGAAAGCACCTCTAGGCAGAAGGGACAGGGGTTATCTTGGGCACAGCTCCACCTGGTCCTGCACCTTGAAGAAAAGGCACCGTGCTGCGGACTCACTAGAGAAGAAACACGAAAGAAAGTGCAAAATCAGGCAAAAGTGTGGCTTTGGCCACTTTTAGCAACATTTCTCATCAGGGCAAACTCAGGAGTGCCTGAGCCTCTCGTTTGCAGCTCTCAGCTAAGCGGGCTTTGGGCTTGCAGTAACTGAGCATCTCTGGTTACAGCTCACCTGGGCTCTGGGTCCCCGGCACCACCCAGGGCTGGAGCCAGCTCTGTGCAAGGAGACAAGTCCAGGGGAAGGGAAGGAAGGAAAAGGGCTTGGAAGGAAAACAGCCTTGTTTGGACAGGCTGCCAGGGAAAGCTGTGGGGCCATCAGGTATGGGAGGGTGACCTTTCCACTATCTGGGGTAACAGGGTCTCACGGAACCCGCCTACCCAAAAAGGAAAGATCACAGTTCCCGGAGATAACGGGTTTTCAACTTTCTGTTATTTTAACCCTTCTTTGTCTGCTCACGGTATTCCCGACAAATAAAGCACACCCTGTTTGGCAGGCTCAGCCGTCTCTGCTTACCCACCAGTGCCAGCAAGGCCTGTGTAATGGGCACTATACACAGCTTGACCGTCTGGGGCAATACCATCAGGCAAGAGGATGCTGCTGTCACTTACATTGACAAGAGGATCCCACTCAGAAAAATGTCAGGGTCAGGCTGTCACATGGAGAGACGTGTAACTAGAGGTCTGTTCCAGCAACCATGGCTCAATGCAGCCATGCTGTTGCTGTCGCACAAAACTCTGCTCTTCTGCAGATCTGCCCTACTGATGCACTGTCGTGGCCAGCCAGGAGGGGGAAGAGGGGACCTGTGGTTGTTACCCAGGCCAGGAGTCCTTACAGACCCCGATCAAACAGCCGACCTCTGGCTGTGTGGCCACTGGCAACACTTCGGCTGCCTTTGCTCATTTGGTGGCATTTGGTCTCTGCAGGCAGCACAGAGCCCCCCGCTAAAACTCATCACAGAGTGGGCAAGGCAGGTAGAGAAGGACTAGCTGAGCGCTGCCAAGAGGCAAACTGGGATGTAAAGACTGTAAGATTCCTACTAAGCTTGAAAATGTTGCCCACACCCATGTAGTAGCTGGGTCCTCTCCACCGTTGGAGCCACAAGAGTGCTCCTTTGACCACCCTCAGACACGTGCTCACTTCTGCACGGCTATGCTCAGCTGCAAAGGCACTTACACTCCCTGGCACCTCAGCGCTTTGGAGGGTCTGCTCCACAGATTCTTCCTCTCATGCTAAAACTAATCTATAAGGCACCTGCTGCCACAGATCTCCAAGAACAAAACTCAAGTGTCCTTTCCCAGGTCCCTGCACACCCTACACTGCTGTTTCTCTCTGGTCCCATCTTCTCCAGCAGCCACTCTTT